TATATATATATATATATATAACCACCTGTGATCCCATAGTATTCAAAACAGAATACTACCACCCTCCACATGATCATATAGTTTGGCTGATTTCTCTTTTCTCCAGAAGTAAAGCACTTGCCAGGATAAAGGTAATTTTCTCTCGCTTTTCCAAAGGTTTATTTCCTTTCAGGTTTCAGGACCTTGGGAGACAGTTGCCATAGCAGCAGACAGAATTGACAAGATCCAGGAAGAGGGACCCCTGAGCATCTACACCCGTAGCCTCCAGTGCAATTCAGCCCATAAACAACTGAGTCTCACCTTTAGAGTCGGGTAAGTAAAGTTGCCCTGAGTCTGCACAGACCTCATTATTGACTTCGAACCCAGGCATGTTCTCTGGTTGACAGGGAAGCAATCTGCTCGACTCCCAGTGATGGATGTCTCATCCGCAGCAACAGAATCAATGTCTTTCCTCATGAGTTAGAACAGACTTGCATGCACCAGCCCCAAGCTCTCCCAAACCCTTTATCAAAGCTTGGGGATGAACTGAGCTAAACCTTTTATCATTTATCTCATCCCCATGTCGACATGGGGAACAGTCGACATCTGAAGACGAACGGTTCTTCTTCCTTCCGTGATTCCACAAAGGACGCGTTAAATCTCTACTTGTAAATCTCTTTTTGAGGCCTATGATCAGGGATGATCTGTCTGAAAAACTCAATTATTATGTTCAACTCATGAGTGAAAATCTCCAGGAACAATTAAAATATATTTAGAATCCTTTATATTTTGCAATATATGGGTAGAGGTATTAGCTTACAAAATGAACAAGTCAAATAAACCTCTTATTTCTTGGATAATAAGAAGGGTAATTTTTGGAATAACGAGCAGAAATTCAGGATGTAATTGGACTCGAACAACGTATCCTTCCGATTATGTGGAATATATCGTTTGTACATAAAGACTTCCCTATCATTTAAAACTGAATAACAGCTTTCAAACCACAGTTAGCAGAAACCGAGACCAGATGTGGAAATGTCAGAAGACTGTTATAATTAAATGTGGATCTGACTTACTGCCTGATTGTGCAAATGTACAGGTGATGGGAAAATAAATAATTAACAAATAAAAATAAATAAATAAATCCTAAAAGACGGGAGATGAATATTGATATTTGTGTGAGGGAAACTTTACATCCAAACAATTAATTTTGTGTTTGGAAAGTTAGAAACGACTGATGACAAACGTGACAGCTCGAACGTTCCGATCATCTTTAAATGCTGCATTTCGAGGGACAGATTTAGGGACTATTGCAATACGACGAATGAATGTTCAGGTCAGCAGAATTCTCCTTTTCCAAAAACTTTTAATCTGTGACTCATTGGACTGATGATCAGTTTTGTACAGTAGTTACAATTTAAAATCAATAAAAAATATTATTATGCCAGTAGTATCAACACAGTAATGAGAGTCAATATAAAACTTATGTAACGGATGAGAGAATATTTGCATTCTAACAAAATATTATATATACATATATCTATGTATATATAATATGCTAACTCAATATTTAATCCCCTGGGTATTCATAGGACACTAACAATAATGTGTCCTAAGGCACTGAAAAAATGTAAAAGTTGGGGCCTGAGAGATGGCTCAGCAGTTAAGAGCACTGACTGCTCTTGCAGAGGACCCGGGTTCGATTCCCAGCACCCACGTGGCGGCTACAAACGTCCTTAACATCCAGTTCCAGGGGAATCCGAAGCCCTCCTCTGACCTCTGCGACACTGCACGACACGGGTGCGCTCACATGCAGGCAGTACACTCATACACATAAAATAAAAATAATAAATAATTCTTTTAAAAGTGTGTAAGAGTTGTGTGTCAAAAATGGAGATTAGATCCTTATAGCGACCTGGTATTTTTGAAACCCCATCCCTAGGCCATGGTACATGCTGAGGATACCTAGGATGCACACCAATTGTCACTGGCAGACGCAAGGTGAGGGCTCCATTTAAGAAGGCACCTGAGGTCCTCCAGGCTCAGTAAACCATAAGTAAAAGGTCAGATTTCAAAAGTAAACAGTGCCTTGAGGAGGCGGTACGTCCCTGCACAAGAATCTACTCTATCGATACTCCGATTATTTTCAATCAGTGCACTTGGAATTAGTGATCTTACTGATGTTGATCGATAATTCCCCAATGAAAACAAACTATGCATTTACATTTCTTGTAGAAAATGAAAGAAAAATATAAGGGTATGTATAAGAAACTAAAAGAGCCATTTAGTAATTTGTCCCTCACAATATTAAGCCTACAGAAGAAGTTAAATCTCATTTTGTCTTTCAGTTCTTGTGATTTGATGTTGACCGTTGTGGACTAGGCAAACTGCTTGATATTGTACATCAATGCCAACAGGCATAGAATGTTCTGGGGGGGGGTGTTTGGTAAGTCTCAGGCGTATAGTCACTCAGCAGAAAATTCAAATATTTATATTTCAGATTTTGCCTGCTTGATTTATCTTTGTAGCATTTAAAGCATAACTTTTTTAAGAGAAGCAATCTCCTTCCAAATATCATGTTTGCAGAAATGTTTATTTCCGTTTGGGAAAAATAAAAATACAAGTTTTTCAGGAAATCGTAGGGGGCATACTTTTGCGGAATATCAATCTCCAAAGATTTTTGTAAACCTGGGGTCAAAAAATCTGAGCTTTCGCAAACAAAATTTGTTAGGAAAAATGAAGATTGGAAATCAAAAACGTGTATTGTTACAACAGTGTAAACCTCACTAAAAGAACAGCGTGCGTCATTGAATTAAGACGTCACACTAGAAATTGTGTAGAGAACTGTATGGGAATTTGAATATTTTTAAAAAGTAAATGTTCTGCATGTAAGATACCAGATTGTGATTTAAAACTGAAATGAGAGAGAATAGCTTTACAAAAATTTGAATATTTGTATCTTTTAAAGATATTGGTGATGCAACAC